ATTGCTTGTGATGAGAAGAGTATGGAATGAAACAAAAAATTGACTGATTTTTTTCTGCTTTCCAAACCACCAGTGACAAATATTCTATGCATATTCAGGACGCACAAAGTCGAATATTCGGTAGACCACAAATTTGTATTATATACTGATTTTGAAAAAAATAGTTGAATTGTTTTCAGAAAATGTCGACAAACCAGCCTTCTTTGCATTCTTGACGAGTGATGTTACTTCATCAGGTAGAGAAGTTATCAAGTTTTATAATGTAAAGATTAACAAAGGGAACAATGGGCATGTTTACAGCACCAAAAAAGGGAACTTATCAGATATTATGTACTATTGTCGGATTCGACACCTATGATTTTTATTATCAGATTACATTAAACGGCACACCATACACTTTGGGCAACACAAGTAGTGGAGGGTCGTGGAATTCTCAAACTTCTACAGTTTTGATGGATCTGAAGAAAGGGGATAAAGTGTATATGGAACATCGAGGATCTTTATCGCAGATAGAACATGCTAACACCAATTCTTATTTCTCAGGTTATTTATTGCAATAAATATTTCTAAAAGATGAAATGTTCATCTGTTTTCATCAAAGTGCATGAAAGATGATATTACATTTATTTGCTATATAATGCTGGCAAAACTTGACGGCCTCTGTATGGTTTCTTAGCGATTCTTGTTAGCGATCTCACAGGTAAAATTCTTGCCAAATTTTATAAAACTTATACTATAGATTAATATCAGCAATATCTCGGACAAGTTCTATAATGGTGGACGATCGACTTTTTTAAAAGAGTTATGCCCCTTGGAAATATTAATTTATAGAAAATGGCCTCGTTAGCGCTCTCACGGGTACAATTCTTGCCAGATTTTTATTAAACTTATACTATAGGTTAATATCAGCAATATCTCGGACAAGTTCTATAATGGTGGACGGTCGACTTTTTTAAAAGAGTTATGCCCCTTGGAAATATTAATTTATAGAAAATGGCCTCGTTAGCGCTCTCACGGGTACAATTCTTGCCAGATTTTTATTAAACTTATACTATAGGTTAATATCAGCAATATCTCGGACAAGTTCTATAATGGTGGACGGTCGACTTTTTTTAAAAGAGTTATGCCCTTTGGAAGTATTAAATTTATGAAAAATGGCCTCGTTAGCGCTCTCACGGGTACAATTCTTGCCAGATGTTTATAAAATTTATACTATAGGTTAATATCAGCAATATCTCGGACAAGTTCTATAATGGTGGACGATCGACATTTTTTAAAAGAGTTATGCCCCTTGGATATATAAAATATGTGCAACGCGGGGGACATTGGAACTCTGTTCTTTTATTTATATAGATTAGACCGTTGGTTTTCCTGTTTGAATTGTTTTACACTAGTCATTTTGGGGCTCTTCATAGCTTGCTGTTCGATGTGAGCCAAAGCTCCGTGTTGAAGGCCGTACTTTGACCTATAATAATTGTTTACTTTTTACACATTGTGACTTGGATGGAGAGTTGTCTCATTGGCACTCATACAATATCTTCTTATTTCTATTGGCAGAATGAAAGTTTTTGCTCAATGTTGTAAGCCGTACAGTGACCTATAATTGCTTAAATTCACGTCATTGGGACTCTATTGGATAGTTGGGTCATTGGCAATCATACCAATCTCCTTATTTTATATAGACCAAACACATAAGATATGATTCGTTTGATATGTTTGAGCTTTTGATTTTGCCATTTGATAAAGGACTTTCCGTTATGAATTTTCCTTGGTATTTTTGTTATTTTACTTTTTACAATATAAGGCTAAACGAAATTGAAAACATTGATGACATAATAAATAGCTGTTTAAAACTATAATTCTTTACGGTCTTCAAAGCCTTCAGTCTTAGTTCTAGTCAATCTAGTTTTCACATGCCACAAAACATTGAATTTGTCTACTGAGACGAATTCAGGCAATCATCAATCACTGGAATTCGAACGCTTCTGTACCGTACCGATCCCCTTATATAGAACTCAACCAACTAAATTGTACAAAAGCTTATGTAAGCAGACGATGCCTTTCCTCGTCAAATTCATCTAAGGTTTTAACTTTATATAAGAAAGCATATACAGTACAATCACAAGGAATAATTGGGGTATAAAAATATGGGCGATATCTTTTTTGCGCCAAAAATGAACTCATTTGCGACACAACTTATTTGCGCCAATGCTACTTCTGCGCCACTTCATTTTAAAAACTATAGGTATTATTTGCGCCAATTGAAAAATCATCTTATTGCGCCAATTTTATGAATTTATCTATTTTTAATCAATTTTACACAAAACAAAGTCATCGTCTTCGTTTGTTACAACACCAATATCACAAAGAATTCTGTGAAATTGGCTTGATGTTTTGGTTGAGATGAGTTCAGTTTCCTTCTTTCACTGTACATGAATTGAGATATTTAAAATCTTTTTTTTTTTCTAAATCTTCTTCGTCAATTTTGAAGAGCTCAGAATTAATCCGACACACTGGGGGACCAGAAAAAATGTCGGATTAAGCAGGGTGTCGGAATACTCAGGTTTTTTTCTGCAAGGATAGGCATATTTTGGAACCATGAATATGTGTCGGCTAAAGCAGGATGTTGGAATACTCAGGTGTCGGATTAGACAGGTTACACTGTATTAATATATCAGTTGCTTTTCGTTTGCATGCTGTTTTGAAAATCTGTCCTTCTAGTTCTGAGTATAAGTTTCATGTAAATGATCTAATTCCCTACACAATATAACTGTACTAGATTCATCTGTAAAAAGCCTAGAACAGCACGACTTAACTTTACATCTCCATCTAATTTTTCAATTTTCTGAACAAATGCCTGACGAAATTTGTGTTCTTCGACAACGATGACAGGTTTTCCTCTATCAAACTTTATTTTCTTGAACGATATATCAGACATCTTTTCATGTGAAAAACTATTCTGTTACTGAACACTTTATTTCTTGGTGATTTTTTCTCAATTTTGATGAGTGTTGAGTTTAATCTAAAGTTGATAGGTTATTCATAGTACATGTTACATTTATGCTATAGGTAAAAATGTACAGGTGAATGTGGCGCAATTTGATTCTATTTATTGGCGCAATTGATATCATCCGAAAAATAAAGAGTGGCGCAATTGATACCTTTTCAAAACTGTAATTGGCGCAAATTGATTCTGCCCAAAAATATGGTATTCCCTTGAATTTGACACATCCTGCAGTGTTACCTATGCTAAAAGGGACACACGCTAAGATAGCCCGAAGACTAGATATTAGGAACGTATTAATCCTATGCCACGTGTTGTGAGTGTCACGCTTTCCTTACGTTAAAGAACCCTTGCAACACCCTTTTAATCAGTCCGTTGCTAGGATTTTATTATGCATATCAAATACACCTCTTCAATTAGAAATTATATGTTTCATAACGATCGCCTGATAACAACTCGAAGGAATTGGATATGATCGCTTGATATCAACTCGAGGGAATAGGACATGATCGTTTGATATCAACTCGAGTTATTTAACTTCGATATAATAATAAACTATCTTTTGGCGAGTTTATTATTTATTTACTATATTATAAATCAAATTTAAATTAAATAATGAGAATATGTAATGATCATATCCAATTCCTTCGAGTTGAAATCAAGCGATCATATCCAATTCCCTCAAGTTGTTAAACATATTTCTTTTATTTTAAAAATTCTCTTTTTGTTATTAGAAAAGTCCGTGACTCGTTGATATAGTCTTTTTGTACATACCAGTATGACGTCATTTCTTCGGACATTTTAAAACGTTTTGTTCGCTTCAGAATGAAATAAAATTTGACAAAAATAAGATTTTCAGGTGAAAAATGTGAGTGTTTTGTATCTTATTGAAGAAATCACATATTTCCGTTGCCATGGAGGAAATGTACATCGCTTTACTTTGAAAATCATCAGTGACCTAACAAATAGCCAATTGAAGTGTCGCAACATCGTTTCATGATGCTGGATAAGCCAATCAAATTAACGCATTTTTCGAATTACTATTTCGTATCACACTCCGTACGTGTTCATGCGAGAATAGAAAACGGGCCACAACCAAAAGAGAATCTAAATTCCCACCCATCATCCCGGTCGACCCACATTACAGCTCCTGCCTTTTGAATTTACTCCCTACTTGATCTCACCCTGAATATGTATGAAATATTGGACAACAATAAATCAATCAAAAAGCTTGGTCACAACAAACCAGAGCTTCCAATCTCAATTAATTTAGTTCTTTACAAGGTGTCTTCACATGTATATGAAATATTCACAATGGATTTTGATAAAAACAGAATTTTGCCTTGCACCAGGCCACATACGAACCCCTCAAAGACTTGTTGCAATGGTTCTTTAACGTGCACAGAGGAATCAGATTTAAAGTACCCATTCTGACCAGACATGTCTGCGAATTTATGCACGCCGCACAGCCTAACGAATGTCCCACTTATACAAGTAAGAGCTTTTGTCGGTCGGAAGAAGACCACTGTGACCATATTTCTAGACCCCAGTCACTCTTGGGGTTCCTCAATATGAGATTTTCGATATAATAATAGATAACACGACAAATTTTCTGAGTCTGACAGTCAGGTGAGCTTGTACTGCGGGTGGTGCACCCGGTCTCGCCCCATTTTGAGTTCCTGCGATTCCCTCGCATGCTCCTTTCACTTGGTTTGTATATTCAAAATGGTTTACGAGTTTTAACAACAATTTACGGTAAACTACTCTTATTTAATACTAACATTTTCTTATATTATAATAGCTATGCTAAAAGTATCCAGTATCCTAAAATACAAGTTTGGTATTCCTAAAATACATCTGTATTATAAGTTCCCTGAGGCAAGAAAAGTATATGTCCATCAAAAGGCTTAAGGATATTAATCTTGTAAAAACAACAATTGTTTATGAATTATTTTAAATACGAAACATGACAAATGACGAAATATGACGAATATAAATTATACCATTAAATATACATATAATATAAGTTACAATTAAACTAAGACCTATAAGGATAAGGCGATGAAGGACGTTGCTTTGTCTGTGAGTTTCTTTGCTTGGTTTCTCCTAAAGTTTTCATTATGTGCTGTGGAATTACCGGACACTGAAGAAGTCCATCAAACAATACAAGATTCCTTTGCCTGTCGTAAAAACAATCCAGCTTTATCTGTGTCTATTGTGAAGAAAGGGAAGATTGTATTTGCTGATGGCTTTGGAGTGGATTCTTTAGATAGCAAGGAACCAGTCACTAATACCACACTTTTTGGAATAGCATCATTGACGAAGGGGTTTACAAGTGCACTCTTGGCAAAACTTACTGACCACAGTAGAGAGTAAGTTTAGATATCTTTAAAATTAAGACCACGAAAAAATTATGTTCAAACAAATTCTTTGATCGATGAGTAAGTTAAAATATCTTTATGTTTAAAACTGCGAAAATATATGTTCAGACAAACTCTTTGAAGATAAAACAACTTGAATTACTTATTATTATATGTCTAGAAAAATGCATCCCTACACAATCATAAAATTGCACTATCTTGTTAATTTACTAATATTGAGGAATATTGTTGCGACCTGTCTATCATTTTGTTAAAGCTTGCAGGTGAGATAATACAATATAATATTTAATGTGTTTTGAAAACTAATATATTTAATTCAATTACAAATAAAGACTACTTGCTGTACCATAATTCCACGTAGTGCTATGAAAACCTCTTGAAAATGATTTCTGATCTTTCCACTCTGTAGTTGTGTGGTCCTTAGAAGTAATTAAATCGACATAGAATTGTCAGCGAAAAAAAAAACGATCTTGGAAGATTAAAATTATACAGCAGATTTTAGCCCCAAAATACCCAAAGAACCGTCTGTTGTCGTGACTTGTAGATGTCCTTTTGTTATTTTGTTGGGTTGAAGTCATACCTTCGTTTCCTTTTATTTATATGAGTTACTTCAGTATGTGTATTTCTCAGTTTAATTACTTGTGTCTCATCTGCACCTGCTAAAGGGATATTTCATCTGCACCTGCTAAAGGGATATTTTTTGTTATCACGCAGACACCTCATTCTACGTATGGTGTGCTGGATTAAACCAGTTCAACCAGCTGGCTGAGCATTTAGTTGCATTTGGATATCCGGTTCCAGATTGCATCATGGCTTCCATGCGCTTTTATCTTGCATACCTTAAATCGAAACTATCCATTTATCGGTCATTTACCTTTATCCGATTATCCATAACCCGAAAATAGACAATATCCAGAAAAAATGTTTCAACGAAGCCAACTAGTTAATAGTAGGTCTCCTGCTACTATCTATAATTTTGGACTAGATATATTGGATATGTATATATATAGTATTTTAACAACTTGAACAGATGCTATTTAATTTCCTTCAGAGATCTGGTGTTTTTAAGTTCGAAAACATTCATAATATATCTTATCAAAAATATATCACGCGAATAGTATTGTGTAGATCAGTCATTTTTCATATATAAGTCAGTGTATAAGTTGTACCATGGAATTCTTATACTTCCAAGGTTGTACAAGGGACGGCACATATGTCGGTTCTACTGTAATAACGTGATCAAAAATGTGTTGCATTGATATAAACAAGTTCAAGTCAAACAAAAATAGATGTGTTATTTGTCATTTCCTTTTCCCGCTGTTGGCAGTCGTTTCATAGACAGTGTGTTCTTTACGCGTGTTAAAATAAATATCATATTGTGAACTAGGACTTGTTTCCCCCCCGAGGTCATTTTACTTCTAAAAGAAATGGTGTATACTAAAAAAAAACATGAACTTTGATGACAGTATACAAGGTAATGTAGCTTGTTAGTTAACGTGATTGTTAGTTGTATAGTCATAATTTTTAACTGATATATAGCGCAAACAATTTATTACATATAAGGTTTGTGTCGGTCTAACGGAAAAGAAGAAGCCGGTACAATAAGACCACTTTTTGGCCCGTTTTATATTAACAAAGTATAACACATGTTAAATAACGTAGTTCATGTGTTCATAAGATAATGATGATGGATGGCTGTTTAACGTCCAACTGCAAATTAAATGCATATTCAGAACAAAAACATTGTAATGTGATATGAATATTAATGTTCAAAAGACATTAGTATTAGATTTCAAAATTAATTATTATTCTGAATTTTTCCTTAAGTATTCCCATTAGGTCTTCAAACGTCTTGCCTATCGTGCAAAACTACGTTTAGATTTTATAAATTTATTACTATGTTTGGTAACAATGACCGTATTTGCTCATTGATGAAAGCCGTATGGTGACCTATAATATTCATTCAACCTCACATTTTCCCTCAACTAACCTGCACACTATTTGCTCACGCAAATGTAATACCAAAATTTTATCGTATCCCGTGAGGCTGATCTGGTATGAAAATATGTAGCTTATCATTATTCGCAACCTACTGGAGCATGATCTGCTTACCCTCCAGGAGCCGTGACTTGAGACCACCCCGATTTTTGTTGGGGTTCGTGTTGCTCAGATTTTAGTTTTCTATGTTCCGTTTTGTTTTGTGTACTGATGTTTATCTTTTTGATCGTTTTCTGCCATGACATTGTCAGTTTGTTTTCTACTTATGAAATTGAATACCCCTTATGTATCTTTCGCCTCTCTTTTGGTAATCTTTACAATTACATAAGATGAAAAAAAAAACTTAACACGACCACCATTTTTGTGGTAACCCGATTTATCGGTAAACGGACAGAAAGTCACAAATTTGATAGGACAAAAAGTCACAAATAATTTGTTTATAATTGTTTTAATATATAAGAGAAAGATCTTGAAATGATTACTTTATATTATATTTATTCATGTTACAGTTAAGTAAATTGTTCATAAGCCTTGATAAATGAAGATTATCAAAATTAAATCATGTTAAGGATATATTTTCTTGGCACCATGAAGCCATTTAAGTACCAAGCCACTTTGACAAATTGTTTTCTTAACAATTATTTGATCATTATTGATTTTTTAGTATAAATTTTGTTTACAAAGTTGCTAATATATTATAGTTCAATGTTCTTCTTCAAAAAAATAATCTCGAAACAGCATGTCCTAAAAATTGGTTACCGAAATACGGTTTTTGTTATTTTTGGCATATTCTGTTAGTTAATGAAAAATATAACATTTTTCTCGCTTGATTTGTCCAAAAAATATAATGCCTTAGGTTTAGGCGTTCCCGATAAAGGTAAACCCAGAAAAGCGCGTCGGACGCAAGAAGTGTTATTTTCTTCTACTATCAATGGGTCGATACCACTGCTAGTGGACTTTTAATCATTAACCATCAGCTCAGTAGTCTCTGTTGAGAAACTGTTAAGATACTAAGGGTCCAACTCATTTTTGATGATATAGCTCCTAATGTTTGTACGTATTTATACATCCCTGGCTTTCAAAGGTAAATCCAGAAAAGTGCTTCGGACGCACGAAATTAATAAACTGTTATTTTCATTTACTATCACTGGATCGATATCACTGCTGTCAGGTTATCATCAGCTCTGTAGTCGGTGCTTTTGGTACTGTAATGATTTATGACACTTTTTACTAAATTTTAGCATTAAATAAATTTAGAAATTGTAAAGAAACTAATAAAAGTTCCAACTACCTCAGGCAGAGTTGACCGTAGATGAATTTAGGCTATTATTTTTAGATTCCCTTTGATCATAAAGCTTCTAACGTTTCTTTGTATTCATATAGCCCTGGCTTTCAAATGTTCAAGTTTGGGCGTTCTTGCTGAAGATAAATTTTGAAAAGCACCCTGGAAGCACGAAACGTATAAAGTGTTATTTTAATCAGCCGGGCGTCCTGGCTCACTGATTGCTAACGCTGACAATATACCTATCGACGAAGTATAAGATTGGGTCAGGATGCCAGGTTATATTTCAATATACACATCTTTACAATGAGAATTCCTCTGCATATTGATATCAATGCTAATAAAATTGATTTGTTGATAACAGGTACAGTTTGAATAGCAGAGTAGCAGAGTTTTATGGAAACCACCCGGTCTTTGATGGCTATCTTAGGTCTAAATTCGCTACCATTAGGGACCTTCTGTCGCACAGAATGGGGATACCAATGCATAACTTTATACGATTTGATAGTACACTGAATAGGAAAAATCTAATCAGGTAAGTTTCAATATTTTTGATGAATTGTTAATACATGTAAGCAATAAATTACTTTCGAGTCGCTGTCAGTACGAGGATATTCACGAGGATGTATATTTATAAAAAACAAACACATGTGGAACATTTTTATTCAAATGTTCCTATCAGTCATGTGTAAATTTGCCAAACGTGCGTCATCCGTCCATTTGAAAGTCACGCACGTGGAAAAAAAAGGATTAATATAAGACTTTTATAAATGTTCTTCCTGGATGTTTTAACTTGTTTCCGGTCACTATACGGCTCTGATGACCGAAGCATATGCGAAAGATGACGTTTTGTGAACCATAAACATGGATAAACTAAATTTTTCAGACAAATGTCAAATGAATCACTAGACTATTATTGTTATTTTGCTGCTGAAAGGTCGACCAGTATGCCTATAAGCCGTGGTTAGGTATACTGATGAGCAACGTATAGAATTTTGTCTGTGTCAAAATGCTGAATCATGTAATAGAATTATAGCAGTAAGTCAACTTATATAAAAGTGTTGAGTCTACTTGGTCTGTTGTCTGTTGTCTAAAGGGTGATACAACAATTTAACATTGTTCAAATGATAAAATCTACCAGCTAAGTAAAACACCAGAATAAACCTTTTAAGTAAGTAACGTCCGTGTGAGACCATCATGAGAAGTCATGGTTGTTAAACACTCCGTAGTTATTTCTGTATACAATTAAGAGCTAATGATTATAGAATGAGACTTTGGTTGACTTGTTTGCTTTGTTTGTATAAATGTTTGCTCAAGCATTGCAATTAAATCTGACATCTGTAAACAATATATTAAGAAGGCGGAGTCAAACCTGTATACATTATACTTAGATTTGATTGGATGTTATCCTGGAGGTTAGGAATCTAAATATAAGTCTTACTCTACAAGCATTAGGAAATTAGCTCTAAATAGATGAATACATAGCGCAAGTCCTACCTATAGTTATGCAACGTAACTGTATTTAATGTAAATGAAATGTGTTTTTAAAGCATTTTATTTTTATTTGAAGCCAATCAATAATTGGTTTCTGACTTGTTTTATTTTGTTTTATTGAACAGACGTCTAAAGGAGCTAAAACCAAGAGGAAGATTCAGGGACAGTTTTTACTACAGTAATATTATGTATGGACAAGCTGCAAGACTTGCTGAAAAAATTGGCAAAGCAAAATATGAAGATTTAGTTAAGAACCATTTATTTCAAAAACTGGGAATGACAGATTCCGACTTTTTCACTACTGCCAATGAAAGTTTAATTGACCTGGCCCAGGGTTACCTAGATGTTTATGGAGAGCTTCATCCGGTCCCTTTTGAATTGTCAAGGTAACATTTGAAATGATTATTTACCGAGAACAGAGAAGTTGAATAAGATAAGACTTTGAATTGCATTGGTATCTTACAAACTAAGTTATTTATTTTGCAGTTTTCTTGAAAATATTTTTGTTATATTGTTAGTAAGAAAAGAAAACAACAATATTTCATCAGTCCAAAAGGCCGAAAGTGATAAAAAAAACATGACAATGCTGGAAACTATAAATCATATAAACGGAGAACTGTTGTCATATTCCTCAAATCTATATTACCATCAGAATTTCCTTTTCATTTTATTCTGTACTGCAAATGACTTAATAATAAACATATCTAGTTCTGATTCTCCTCTGTTATAAGGTTACTGTTTTTTACGTATATCATACACCTCCTGTTACATATATGTTTTAAATTTAGTTTTAATTATATTGTAGGAGATGGAGTGACTTATGTGGCGCGAACTGTATTCTCAGCAGCGCGATAGACATGGCAAAATGGATGATGTTTCATTTGAGTCATGGCAAGAATCAAGATGGCCGTCGAGTAATGTCCGAAGATGCACTAGAAGATACTCATAGACCAGAGAATGTGTTGGCCAGGTCGTCATTGTCGAAATATTATACGAAACCTAATGTACCAGAAACATTTAGTCAAACTGGATATGCTTTAGGATGGAGAACAGGACATTATAGAGGTAAAGTAACAAATTATGTACAATAATTAAATTATTGTTATACAAATGTATGTACGTTGGTTTATAATAGTACAAAATGTATTATGATTGATATCTTATTTCATCATTAAGTTATGTGCATGTATTAATATTGTATGTAATTTCAACGACTGTTAAATGAAATAAAAGTTTTTAATTGCATGTGCAAATACATGCAAGGAGAAGTGGTTTGATTACCAATGAGACAACTATCCCCCAGAGACCACAGCACAAGGATGTATACTATGTATTTTATTAGGTCACTGTACGACCTTCAAAAATTAGCAAACTATATACCCAAACTATATACCGTACAGTTAGTTATAAAAGGCTTCGACATGACAAAATGGGAAATACTTCTAAAGAGAAAATCAATACAGAAAGAAATACTATGTATTAAAACTTTAGGTCAACAATTTTGAGACAAGCAAAGCAAAGAAGTAACATAAACCGTCAACTGTTAGTAATTGAGTTTGATTTATATTGTATGAAAAGTAAGTTTACAAGTATGTGTTACCACTGCAAAAGTATACTTTCTGGATTTCAGACTTTCAATACATAATAATATGCTAAACAAACTAAGACCTAAAATATTAAACACTCAACAAAAAACTACAAAACAAAACAAAACAATAAAACAAAACAAACCAAACTTAATTCCAGGGGAATACTCGATTGTTCAGAAAGGGTAAGCAGTTCTTGTTGATAAATAAAAATCTGGTAATAAGACGTATCTGGTGATGTCATAGGATGCGAAAGAAGGATTGTGGCTAAGGTAGTTGATGATATCAATTTGTGACATAGGCATTCCATAAAGGCCAATCGAGCGGGACAGTTAACTGAAAATATTTGATATTTTATAGGTTACAACATATTAACACATACTGGTTCATCATGGGGTTACAAGAATATGATTACACTCTTTCCCGATATGGATGTCGGAATTTATACTGCCATGACAGGTGATGACGATGACTTCCTGTTCCGGTACAGTTTACACCAGTATTTAGCAGATACGTATTTGGGTATTACTCCATGGTTGAATTCCACCTTGATATGTTCCTTCCCAGACCCATGGCTACCGGTCAAACCAAAGAGAAATAAGCCAACTATAAAAAAGAATTTAATGCCAAAGAGAAAATTAGATGATTATTTAGGAATTTATGCAAATGACGCATACGGGAAAATTGATGTGTTTATACTTGATGAAGTTAATAATACAAATAAACTGATCGCTGAATATGGCTATACTGATCTTATCTTATATCCAAAATCAAGTAAAGACGATTTTTTCTTTGAAACTGATGGAATTGCAGCAATGCTGATAAACTTTGGCACAATACAATTTAAATCTTCGAATGGAATTATTGATAAAATGAGAATTCCAAGCTTTGAACCGAAAGACCCTCCAATATTTAAAAGAATAGACAAACCAGTTTCAAATCCACCAGTTGTTCCAAAAGATCCTATTGTTCCATCAGAACAGTTGTTTCAAAAAGACTCCATCTCATCTGGTTCCGAAGGAAAGGGAACTGAAACTTCATTGTTGACCAAAACTCCGGTCTCGGAACCTCAAAACGTTCCACCAAAATCTACAGAACCAGAGAAGACAACACGTCAGGGTAAAACTGACGCATCTAAAGGACAGACAACAAACAATGAAATAACAAAAGGAGAGCCTGACCTTATAAATACTGAAACTAGGAAAACAAGAGTGGAAAACGTACCAGATAATCTATCTGAAAATCAACCCGACTTGTTTAATACTGAAACAGTTTTACCTTCGAAATCCGTATCAACTGATCAAGGAACCGAAATAGGGGTAAAAAATGTTAATTCGGATCTTCCGAAACCTGACCAATCAGGACAAATGAATAAGGATGCAAAAAATACTGAAAAGATGGATAATAAAATACCGGTGAAAAGTGAAAGTTCTGTGGATTCTAGCAACATTCCTCTTAAAACGGTGAGAACAAAGGAAACAGTTCAAACAAGCACGAAATCCAGACGTCAAAAGAAAAAACCTTCACCATCAATTATACCAAAGAAAGCAGAAACGGTCTCAAATCCTCCACCATCAAACATACAAAAGAAAGCAGAAACGGTCTCAAAGCCAAAACCAACAGTTGCAGATCAAAACCCATCATCGCCTGCTTAGATAATACTGCATGAGTTTAACATTAAAAAATTAAATGAAATAACGATAGCCATTAAATAGATATAAGAAGATGTGGTATGAGTGCCAATGAGACAACTCTCCATCCAAGTCAAAATTTATAAAAGTAAACCAATATAGGTCAAAGTACGGTCTTCAACAAGAAGCCTTGCTATAAAAGGCCCTAAAAATTACTAGTGTAAAACCATTCAAACGGGAAAACCAACGGTCTAATCTATATAAATAACGAGAAACACTTATGAACCACATCAACAAACGACAACTACTGAACATCAGATTCCTGACTTAGGACAGGGGCAAACAATTGCAGCGGTTTTTTAAAGCATATCTTTGATGGATAGTTGTCCCATTGACAAGCAAACACCATCTCGATACATTTTATATTAAAGTAGCTGCATATCGCCTTGATCTTTGAAGTTGTGCAAAAGAATAAGGCAATGACAAATCTTCTCAGGTAGAGTGACAAAAAGATAATAATTCATAACAAAAAGAAACAACTTAAAATTCAATGCATGGCAGTCATTTTATTCAACAGTAATTTACATAATTCTAAATATTTAATTGATAAACTTACGTAACAGGCAGTACAGATCATTCATTACTCTCCACATTTAATGTGTTAATTTGCTTTATTTAACAATTACAGTCAAAAGATTGTTACCCTACGCTTCTTTAGCGTATGACCATGGCACTACAGAGTCCTTAAAATGAACAATAAAAGCCAATAACACTTTTATTAATTGTACGTGTGTATTTGGTGACTATTTTCACAATTAATGTATACCGTTTCTCCAAAAAGTCAAATAGATATGACACAATCCTTAAAACATCTTCCAGGAGCGCAAGATACTTTCAAGTCCGCCCGTTTCCTTTATATCCACGATAAAAAGTCCAATTTGGACAGAAAAAATATATAGAAATTTGCAATATCTAAAGGGGGGAAACATTTTATAGGAAAAATTCATGTTTTTCAATTGGGAACCATTAGAATTCAATAAATTAATAAGTACTAGTAGAAGCTGCACGATGGCATTTTGGTAGTGAGCATTTTCTGAAAGTTTCATTGAAATTCAAGCAATGTTTAGTAGTTGGGTATAGAAAATAGGCACGAAAGAACAAACGAACATACAAACACAACGACTTAAAGACATCATCTGCTAGTATAATAAAATCATAATCATATTGTATAGCAATGTTTTTTTTTCATGTAGAACGTTACTAAACATTACCATACGCTTATGCAGTATTGCATAAAACGGCCACGTGAACAGATTGAAGCTTAACATGGTTGTTTTTCAGACGTTTTGCTATACAAAAACAGAATACTGCACGAATATCGGAAAAGATTGTGCCTAGTATATACCATATTGCACATATTTTCATGACTTTGTTGTGTTATGTATAAAAGAAGATATGAGGGTGTAGATGGCGGTTTACAGAATAGCGAATAATGGGCAAAAGATATAAATAGATAATAGAGAAATATGGACCAAAAAAATAAAGAGTAGAGAATAATGAGGTGCTAAAATATAAAGAATAAAGAAAAATTTAAGAATACGGAAATGAAGGACACCCCCCCCCCCCCCCCCCTAAAATCCAGACCCTCATATATTGTGTATAAACCAAACTTCATCAACCTAAAGAGTTATTCCTCTTTACGTTTTCCATCCTATGATTAACTTTTTATTACATTTTTTTAAAAACATTTACAATAACATTTGAATCTTTATAACGTAAGAATAAACTTGGAACTCTTTGATATATAAAATATTATTTGAATTAGTCTTCTGTTCCAACTTTTTTTTAAATATCATAATACTGATGAGATATTTAACTTCCAAAAATAGGTTTTCATAAATATTTGAGCGTTAACTAGGCTGACTGAGATTTTTGAATCTCTTCTTTTATATTCTGAGTATTATCTTATCTGTTTATTAGTATGTATTTAAATTGTTTTATAATCAGAGAACAACTGTACTACATGAGAGTCTGGATAGGTTTTACAGAATAGAGAATAATGGGCCACATCTACAGAAAAATTATCCCAAGAAATAAAGGGTAGAGAAAAATAAAGGCAAACAAAATAAAGAATAGAGATTAATGGGGTGCTAAATTTAAAAAAAAATAGAAAATAATGGACAAAAAATGTAAAGTCAAAAAAAGACATAAAAGATTAAAGAATACAGAAATGAAGGACCCCATCCAGAACCTCCAAATGTTACATACCATTTGATTCTTTGATTCATATATTACATTCCTCTACTCACTTGGGTTCTGAACACTGTCTAAGTTATTCTTTTTTATTGATATTATTTAAAACATACCAGTAATTTGTTCTTCCTTTTAAAGTGATTGTCATTTAAAAAAATCAATTCAACTGTCCCATAAAAGCAATAAGTTATTACTTTTGCATACATGGCATACCATCAGTAGATATGTGTTTCAACATTTTTTCTTCTAGATTCCAAGACATAGAAAAAAACCTTGGTATATGTTCTGATGTATAAAAAATATCCCCCAAACAAATAAAAAAACTAGAACGATCTCAACATTTGATGATTTCTAAAGCTATTAACGCCTAAATTTTAGTCACATCACTTTGAATAAAATAACAAGATTGACAATAATTTTCAGCAATATAACATGATACATACATATGTCCTTTTCTTCTGTAATATACAGTTGTGTCATTTCTATTTCGGTTTATATAATCATTATAGAAAAATAATTCGTTATTATTCTATATAAAGTTCATTTGTATCCTTAATATCTAATTGTTTAATAGAAAACAACATTTCATTTATCTTAGATCTGAAAAATAAGATAATAAAAATAATACATGATGGAAACTTTGTAAAAAGAACACATGACTATGAAATATAATTGCTATACATGAAGTTTAAGTACACATGTACTTCTAGATCTTTTCACTAAGTTGATAACATATGTTTTTTCAAATATTTATATTAGCTGGTTTCTTTTAATTTATATTAGACAAAATTTTATTTCTATTTCAGTATCAGAATTAATTATTTTGCTTTAAATTTTTTCTAACCCATTTTTAATTTCACTGACCTTTTTTCTATATCAAAAATTTAGATATAATTACTTTATAGTGTATGGAATTAATTTATAATACACATTTGTACACACAAGTCCTCCTTTTTTACCATATTGCATGATACTTTATATTTCGGAAATCTTTTGAAGTGAATGAGACATCAGGCATACACATTCTCAATTTTATTACATATACTCTGTCAGTAATAAATTTTATCAGTAATCTTTGAACATTAGTAATGAATTTTATCAATAATCGTCGTAGTCTTGGTCGTCATCGGACGTTACATTGCTTTTATCTGTCTGGTTATAAGTTACATACTGCACTGGACATTTGTCATTAAGTATCAGTGACTGAAAAAGAAAATGTATATATAATCAGCAAAGACTTAATTATGGTAATTCGTGAATATAGTCGAATGAAAATAACACTGTTTAAATGTGTTGCGTCAGAGGCGCTTTTGTGGATTCATCTTCACTAGGAACGCTCATACCAACAACAGTCAAAGTAATAAAGTACTGAACATCGGATGACTGCAAGTTCTTGTGGATGGTCACAAGCACTTGTCTCAGAAAAAATAAAATATCTCTATACCTGAAAGTTAAGTTAAGGTACATCGATCTTTTTTTCTGAGACAAGTTCCTGTGTGGATGATGAATAAATGACAGAGAATTCAACCTCACCGTAATAATTATTATATTGTAGCGATATAATCATGGGACAATCATTTGTTATCAGTATAATCTGTTTGTTATATATTAGATTAATATTTGTACAACAGTTGTATATGTATAGCAGATCATCTTATTAGTAATAACTCTACCGGCAAAGTTTCATCCATTTATACCATCATTCTTTTCTACTATTCTAATGATAGTGCAGTGCAAGTGCATGATAGACACTCTTCTGTAATAATTCGTTTTTCTAATAGGTTTGATTTTAGTAGGCATTCATATTTCTCCCGCTAATGAATATGTATTGATGAAATTAATATATAACAAGCGATAAGAGATATTTATCCGGAAACACAATTTTTCGGTACGTGTGCATAGATATTAATGATTTTTTTACTTATATATATATATATTTCTCACGACAAAACATTTTCATATTATTTATTTATGTTCTTTATTTTCATGAGTATTCATTGAAGAAATGAATTTATAAAAAGCGATAAGGAATGTTATTTTGCACTCGATAATATCCGCGTATTTATACAAAATACGTTCGGTTATCAGTCAAAAACGGAAGTCACGTGGGTAGAAATGTCTGCGGCAACATAACACCGGAATGCCCTCAAGGTCATCCGCTGTAAAAATGAAAGCTTAAGATGTATAACTACCTAAAAATAGAATGGCTTAAAAAATAATCAAATCCTTCTAAGGTCAACTTTGCATGAGGTAGTTACGAAATGTAAAACCTTGTTTTTTAAATAATTTATCAACAGAGAATTTTTAATTGCAAACGAATGTTTTAAATCATGTCAGTACCGAAGCAACGAGTACTGAGCTCTAGGTACCATAGGGAACTTAGCAGTCCAGCAGCTACGATATCGACAAATGCTCTAGAAAAAAAATAAAATTACACTTTATAAATGTGTTGCATCCAAAGCGCTCTTCTGAATTTACCTTCATCATTAACGCCCATACCAACATTAGCTCGTCAAGTAAATCTTAGAAAGCTATATTAAATGAAAAGTTATGATACCGTGCAATCTATATAAAATGGTCTACCTTTCCACATACCCATGCCACCGATATAAGATGTTCTACCCTTTTGCGTATTCAATCAAAGTTCGAAAATGACCATTCAAAAGTCAAAATTATTTATACGCAGTTAGCATTCCATCGATTCGAAGTCCTGTTTCAGTGTTAAAACAGTATTTATGAATAAGTGTTTTTTTTTCAATAGATAGATACACGTATACATTTTGGAGAACAGAATACGTTTTGTCTCTATGCCACCCAAATCATTCATTACAGTGGGTTATTGATCTGGTTAAAACAAAAACACGCGGAGAACATTAACTTGAGACAAAGTCTTCATAATTAGACAACTATGTTTTCAGAATTAAGTTAAATTCTGTATCTCACCATTTTTTCTTCTTTTCCTGGAGGGTTTCGAATGAAGAATAACAATGGTGCATAAAGCAAATTTAATATTGCTATAATCCACAACATCCTGGAATAAACATGATAACTATTATTAATATTTTTTTTTTATTCTTTTTATAAATAAAAACGAATTTATATTTTTAGTTGTTTATTCGGGTTTCAACAAGAATTGAATTGCACGGAATATTCTTAACTGATCCCAACCTCCAAAAACAAATAAAGAAATAAAAGTATGAATAAAACAATAAACATTGAAAATAAGATATACACTTTAATCTAAATGTTGAATGAAGTCCTTTTTATGTGTCAATCAGGATAATATTTTAAGCACAAAATAAAACAAAGAAAAATAGTTAGAAATAGGACACGATTCCCCGCTAGCATTATCACATTTGCATGTTCAGTGAACAGCGAAATCTATGTCAAAACACTAATTTGGCACATCATTGTTTTAGTAAATTAGTCTATTAGTTTACTTCCTAATAAACACGAGTATCACGTTTAAAGTTGATGTGACCACATAGTACCTTAAACCAAAACTTTAACCTACCGTAAATTAAATATTTAACCTTAAACGGGGCGGACGGACGGACACAAAGACCAGAAAACTATGCCCCTACTATCGTAGGCGGGGCATACAAATTCTCACATGGTTATAAGTACACTGCAAGGATTTCAGTATTTTCAAAATTTCCAAAAGGATATTTTTTTGGGCTTAAAAACACTTACCAACCAAATCCCATGTGCGTTACTATAGTTCCACTTAACGCTGGACCTACAAACCAATAACAGTCATTTAGAGGTAAGATAAATAGTAAGAAAATATCATATGGCTTTTTCAATATCACACCTGTATCAACCCGAGACACCAATATAATCTCAAGAACTCTGCTCGAGGGATTATATTGGTTGAGGGTTGATACGGTGTGTGATATTGAAAAAACCATATCATATACACTTTATTATATACATGTACCTCAAGTACAACTAATCTCTCTTGTGTATTGTTCACGAGACATGACGTAATACATATTAGAGGTTTGATAAAGCTTTTGTTACCGTGACTGATATCGATTACGTGACGTCATACAGATTAGGGGTTTGATAAAGCCTTTGCAACCGTGACTGATATCGATATCATCACGGATGTGATACAGCACGATTGTCATCAATTGTATTACACATACAATTTACCTGTATTTACTACTAAGTATATAATAAAGTATTTTATTGGAAATATTAACTCGATGACTTAAAAATATACAAAGTTTGTAACGTCTCAGGATGTCTATTAGTACTTGGGCTGTAGAATATTTGAACATATAATGGTGTGCTTCCTTCATATTGATTTCGTCCAGGACATCCATAGACGTCACGAAAAGGTCATTTAGACTGTCATGCGATTCCAAAATAAACCTTTTCGCTTATACTGCAAACAAAACATTAACTGTACATATAATACATTTTCATAAGTATTTCGTATTCTCTTCAAAAAGTGATATATGATTTGTAGTGAGTTTGATTATTATGAATGAATTCGAAGAGATTTAGCCATCTTGTTCTGTTTTGTTTTGTTTGTTTTTCTTTCTTCTTTATGAACGTGGTAGTTTTTTTCATAGATTTTTTCCCATGACGAGAAGCAATCACGCCTTTTTCGTTCATGTTGTCTGCATTTTCATTTTCATTTGATTTTAGTATATATATTCAGACAGTGGTCGTTATAAACCATTCTTTATCTATATTGGCTAGAGGTATAGGGGGAGGGTTGAGATCTTACAAAACATGTTTAAACCCGCCGCATTTTGGCGACTGTCCAACATCAGGAGCCTCTGGCCTTTGTAAGTCTTGTATGTTTTATTAATTTTGGTTCATTTATATGTTTCGGAGTTCAGTGTGACGTCCAATTATCGCTGAACTAGTACAAATTTTTGTTTAGCGGCCAGCTGAAGCCCGCCTCCGGGTGCTGGATTTTCCCGCGCTGTGTTGTAGACCCATTGGTGGCCTTGGGCTGTTTTCTGCTCTTTGGTCGGGTTGTTGTCTCTTTGACACATTCCCCGTTTCCATTCTCAATATCATTATCATTCAGAATAGATGTTTAGTTTTGACGTTTGTTATTAATTGCTTTTATCTCCGACACCTCACACCCCAATTTAGTCCTTCTGAAGGACCAGAAGTTTATATAGGATCTGTGTTGTCCATCAAACTCTTGTTTTCTTCATATCGTATTGTGATTTATTTTGTCTCACTCTTTCTGTCAAGGTCTACTGGTTAAATAAAGGGTCATTCGCTGTTTCTTTCGAATCTTAAACTTTTTTAAGTAGCATACATACCAACAGCAAATCCAAGACAGAAAGCTACATCTGCAATGGCATAAACACTGCCATAAACAGACACGTGTCTAAGGTCTACTAGATACCCCATATGAGGCATCATTGTGGAGTCTACCATTCCTAAAGTATAATAAGTATTCTATTATGAAGACAATAATATCATGATTGTTGAACATCATATTTAAGTTTGCATATAAAAAATGTTTGAAGATAATACCGGTATCATTTATTGGAAAATGTACATCTCACCCTTCGTGTATTTTAAAAAGAGAGATAAGATACACAGTGGACTATAAAATACATGATTTTAATAAATAGACAACACTATGGCAAAAAATAAACCGACCAAATGACAAACCAACAGTCCAAAGACAAAACTACACAGAAAACTGATGATTCAGAAACACGAATTTCAATAAAAATCGAGAGAAGCAGTTTCTTACTACTCCAGTAGTAGCATTGGTTGTGTTAATTTATAAGTGTGTGGGTTTGTGGTTAAGGTACACAAACGTACACCGAGTACACTTAATCACGAGTCCTTGAATTTGCTCGTTTGGCAACTCGATATAGATAAACTATTACACAAATTCAACTTATAAAGTACTGGAGTTTTTTTTATATCTTAGCTAGAAATATAATAGAATTCTAAAACCTTTATTTTTGATAAAATGACACCGTGTCATATATAATATAAATGTTTAAAAGAATATATTCCAAATTATGCCAGCTATTTGAACACGTATGTCTTCGGTAAACATTAAGTACCCATGAATTTATTCAAAATATGCAGTGAGATATATTTGATCTTATCAAACATTTCAAAAGAAACTGTTGACTTGGTTATCAAATACCATTTTCAGCAGTAAAATATCTTGACATTAGAAATGATATGCAAAAAACTGAATTAATTTATGAAAGATGCATAATACAAAACCTTTATTTATATTTTATGCTCAAACCAACAATGATGTTCAAACCTCAATTTATTTATTCTGTAATATAACCGTAGTTACCATTACTTACCTATTGCAAATCCTAAGCCAAAGTTTGGTGCTATTAAATGATAAATATTTTTGGAGAAAGGTATCTGAAAAACAAAATGAAAATAACATACAAATCATATCCCGCATCGAAAGTCTTCAATACCACATTTAAAAGAACCCGGAAATTCATTATTTCATAATTGAAATTTTGACATCAGTGTTTCTTCAGTTCTAACGAGTATTTTTAAAAGAAGCTAGTATACTTTATAACCTTCTGCGAAAATTGTTCCTCATTATGCTTGTATTAAGTTTTAGGCAACATTTTTACCAACAATGATGAGAAATCTTTCAACTGGTTTCAGCATTAATTAAGATCCACTGCTCTTAAACAATATATTCATGCAAATTGTCGTGTGTTAGTGTACATTTTTTTTTTTTTGGATGAAAAGGATGTGTTCGTGACGTGTTGTCAATTAGGTTTTCGACATTTTGATTTTTGTCAGAATGAGTATGATTGTTTTCAATTCTAATTTTTCTTGAGTAATATTTTTTTAAACTTACAAATATTAATGATACTCCTATTATGACCATTCCAATTAACGATGATAACCACCTGAAAATAAAATGTTAAAGATGAGTTATGAAATTCAAAATTATACCACGAGTTGTGACTCTTTTGTTCTGTACTATGTCGTCAGGTAGAAAGTTAATTTCAACTGAGCGATAATAAAATATATAAAATCAGCTTATATTAAGTTATTTCTTTCCTTTTATCCTTCAACTCTTTCCTATTCTGCAAACTTTTTTATGTTTGTTTGTTTTTTGTTTTTTGTTTTTATATTTTGTCAAATCTGATTGTTAATGTAGATGTTAAAAGTGGAAGGATGTGAGTATTGGTAAACATATTCAGTAACTATAAAATCTTTTTAAAATAAATTTATAGAACAACTATTAAAAAAATGATCTTACCTTCCTATTTTATGACCCAATGGCCCGAATATATTTGTTCCTATTAAATATGATATACTTGCAGGTAAAAAAGCAGCACCTGAAATTAAAAAAAAGTTTCATTAATAGTTTTGTATAAAAGTGTGTCGCATAATAAATTAATGAAAGATTAAGTATGAAGATTTCAATATTAGTTTAACGTTCCCATCGTTATGCTACCATTGTGGAAAGGTTTGATTAAACCAGGTAAGAGTGCGTCACTGAAACAAGTACTTTTACAGTCTTTCAAACCAAACGCATTGGCAAATTGAAAAAGCGTACTCTGCAATCATAAAATCCCTTTTACAATAATAAAAGATAACAGCACAAACCTTGTTGCCACTCAGGTGCATCCATCGTCTCGTACATCCAAATTGGTAAAGACGGTTCCATCATTGCAATACCCATGTTGGCAAATGTTATAGAACCTATTTAAAAGAACAAAGAAAGTTTCATTTACTCTGATCAGAATACTCGAAGTATTAAAATCAGCTTTACATATCGTGTAGTTTTACAAGTTTTATTAGAATATGTCACATGATTGTGTGTTTTAAGAAGCGTCCGCTATCCATGTCAGTTTATGACTAACTTTCAATCACAAACTTAATATAAAGTCCGAAAGTTGGTTTCTGAGCGAGTCGGTCGAGTTTTCACATCAATAAACTCCTTCAAGATATATTTTATTACTTAACTTTAGACGCGCCTTCTTCTAATATAAATTGTTTTCGTATTCTATTGCCATCTTTTGGGGTTTTAATCGACACAGTCACTGCTTTTCATTGTAAAAATTTTACTCATGTATTTATATACACCAAACTAACATATACAATATTTTATTTTGTACCTATTGAAAATATGGCTGAAAATATAATACAATATGATAACAGAAGTCCATTACTAGGCCCTAGAAATGGACTTCTGATTATACTTATCTTTAAGACGGCTTTCGTTTTAATTAAATTAGTATATAAGCTGTAAAGTATCCCAATTTCCCCAAGAAAAAAATTTGTGCCATGTTAAACCAAATAAGTTTTGTGTCGTCATCCAAACTTAACAGCCGAATTTATACATTTAAGAAGTGAAATCAACCATGTCTAACTTAATTTGAATAAAATATGGACTACATTTCTTCATGTAAGTATGTACTAACCAGCAGCAATAAGAATATACGGGTCTTTGATAAGTGTTCCTAAAGACTCTCCTTCGTGTGACTCTGGTTTTACTGACGGCTTCAAGGCAAACATCTGTAACACTATAATATAGAATAACGTATCAATTTACTTGCATGGCAATATGGTTTAACTGACAAAAAGATAACTGTTACAATTTAAAGACTGACGTGGGGGGGGGGGGGTGTCGAGAAAGGGAATATACACATTTACAGGTCACAATGTATTGCTTCCGTCAAATATTCAAAGGGTTATACCGTAAGTTTCAAAATAAAAATTCTTTTAGTGAAGAAAATGCTTTAAACTTTAAAGAGATAAACAACGAATTCATTTGCGTTAATGAGACGAAAACCGTTGCGGAACCGAAAAACGACAGCCAATGGAATACCGTGAAAGAGTTAAGCGTGCTATTTGCGATTAATTCTACCTGTTAATTGGAATAGTGGCGTGACAGGAAGACAATACAGTAAGAAACAAATCAAAACATTTAAAAGATATGCTTTATTGTTTATAGAAAAATATTGATCGCTTAAAGTTTATTGATGAATGTTACATTGAAGGTTCTTTCGACAGAATGGTAATCTTTATGTATAGAAGTATTTATCAGAGCAAAAAGTTTGCATTGACTTTACTTAAATTTAAGAGCTTGATGAACAAATTATACCGTTAAAATTTGTTTGTCAGACTTAAAAAAGGTTGATAAAGATTTAGGTAATTTGTTGTTATTAAATCCTTTATTTCATAATTTGCATGTCAAGCACAAAGTACGTTCATTAATTAATTCAAAACGTCAGTGCAGGGCAAAGACCGTCGAATGATTTTCAAAAATGATGGACGTGTTAATCTATAAATAACAATTTTTAATTTTTTTTCATCCACATAAAATAGAAGAAGTTGATGTACACAATTGTTTTCTTAAAGACAATAGGGGCTTAAGTACAAAACAAGTACAGCATTGGAACTTTTTTTACGATGTTATTCGTCTATAATAGTACCTAACCATTCGTCGTTTTTCTTTAATGATCTCCATTATGTTCATTGGCGAATGTGAAGACATAATCCCTTGACTCGTGCAATTATATTATAGGAGTATTGCAAGAATGCTAGTGAATATTGTTCCTTGTAGAACAGTTTTTGCATGAATAGTTACTATACATTCTACTAGGGAAAACATAATACAACAATACTAGTGCAATGCCCTTTGATTGCATGGGGAACATTTCAATGCCATGAATATCATGTTTTTCTTTCAATAAGGAAACAGTTTTAAAGCCAATATGTAAGTTAACATTTTGTCACGTTCTACAATACAATGAATTATATTGCTTTACAAGGGAAAATAATATTAAAGCAATATAAGCAAAGTAAAATACCCTGTTACCACATTTTATATTTTTTTTTATTCATTATACATATAAAACAAACAAAACAATTAACTCAAATAGTTAACATCGTAAAAGATTGCAAGAATGTACGACTTCAACAAAGTTAATTGAATTGCGAGTATGCAAACCATCTAGTATATGTGAATCAAAGTGCATTCTCGTGTTGAATTATTTTAAAGAGAGGCGAAAGATACAAAAGGGACATTCAAACTCATATGTGGAAAATAAACTGACAACGCCATGGCAAGAAAAGACCAAAACACAAACAACAGTACACAAAACACAAAATAGAAAACTAAAGACTGAGCAACACGAATCCCACCAAAAACTGGGGGTGATCTCATGTGCTCCGGAAGAGTAAGGAGATCCTGCTTCACATGTGATACCCGTCGTGTTACTCATTTAAGTACAAACCCTTTGATAAGTCTAATTCGTTAGGTCACATTCGGGGGGAAAGAGGATGGAATTGTAGTTACGACAATTGGAACATATCCGTCGTCATCTGTGAAACAGATAATCCATAACGGTAAACCATCTCGTGATGGTGTCCGTAAAATTTACGAAGGAACGATTTCAACTTCATGCACCACTTGGAACTCCTAGGTTAATAGCTTCCTTGTGAGCAGCAACCCTCTATCAAGGAAATCATGATAAAAAATACAAGCCCTGGAATATCGTATCAACTTGGAGATATATACTCAATACGCAGGCGCTGCTGGAATGTTGCTACATCGAAATGGAAAGTTCCATTTGGGAAGCTGAAATCATCTCTTTTGTCGTAAAGTTATGTTTTCAACCGACCCTTATTGTCAATTTTTAGATGTAAGTCAAGATATGAGGCAGACTTAACTGCATCTTTTGTATCCATTCTTAAGGTCGTAAGAATGTAATGATTATCTCTGATTTTCATTATTTGTTTGTCCACAAACGAAATTTTTGTGCATTTTTGTTCTATTTAATATAATTATGTACACACCCAATGACTGCCTAGTGGTACGGAAGATGAAATAGGATATATGTTCCCGATTGATATGTTAAAATTCAGTGGAAGAAGTATTTTTGATATTGTGTACACCAAATTTTCGTCTGAGTTCCCGATTATCATTGCAATACTATGGATCTTGCAATCGTACACTTCAGATGTTGATCTGGATTACCTATTGCATCGATCTGCCGTACCGATAGCCAGTAATAGAGTGTGAAGTAATGTATGATAAATAAAATTAAATAGAATAGAATAGATAAATGAAGAAATAATCTTATTATGAATACGATTATTGTTAATTTACAAATATAACATTTTTGGTAATCCTCCTGTTTCATCTTAGTCGAGCGCAAACTTTATGATTTTTAATTCTTTTATCATAGTTTTTACTTGCTAAATCAAAATCTTAACTATCAAGCATATTTCAACCTCGTAAAACGTGTAACAATATACATACTATATTTAATATAAAATTTGTTCAAAAGTACAATGTATGATTAGGGAACTTTTTGTCCTATTCACAAAGTTACATAAATCTATTAGTTGATATTGATATATTAAAAAAAATAAGTCCGTATCAAAGGGTAGTATGATAAATTAATTCGATAACAAGTCGAAAGTTTTTTTCGGGGTCATCATTTTTATGTCAAAAATGGAAAATTTTCGAGAGTAAAAACGGGATTATATCAATTACAAATTTGCATTATTCATTTTGCACTGTCATCCAATGACCATTAACTACGTTAGCCTGTCATTAGAACAAAGTTGTTCGATAAAAACGATAAAGGTTAAGGCGACTCAAAAGCAAAATGTCCTTATTTCAAATGTCACATATTAGATGACGTGCATTGAATTTTAAGATTTATGCAACATAATTCGTTTGAAAAGATCGAGGAAAATGCAATTACCGATCAGAATTAAAAGCAATCTTTTCTAGATCGGAAGTAATATTTTAACTGTTTATTAGTGAATTGTAGATCAAGAGAATGTCTAATGTGATCTGTCTGAAGACCAACGGGTAAATCAATAATCAGAAATCAAATATCTCCTATAAAATGCAATCAAATAAATGAAACAGTTCCCATAAACTTATTTATCACCATTTTACTCTGAGAAGCCCCAATAATTATTAAGGATAGGGATCAGGTTGCTGTAAGTAGTTATTCTGTCAGACTCTTGGGATTTGGTCTGATACATTTTAGGCTTTGGAAGGGCTTTTTCTTCCAATCCTTTTTCACTTGGAATTGCAGCGAGGGTAAATATATGACGTTTATTGGCTGTTCGCGATAAGGGCATATTAATATAGAGTCAATCTAATTTATTTGCATTTTTTATTGGGAGTGGGGAGTGGGGGTAAAAACCTAAACATCTTTTTAACTCTCGGAATCAAAGGTGCATGCATATATCCTAACACACACTTAACTCTGAAGTAAAGTAATAAAACAGAAATGCGATAAGATTGGTTTCTCTAAAAGTCATAGTCTCATGATTTCATGCAAAAAGGCTAAAAAAAAAAGGAAAATGCGATTGAAGAACAGCATTATTTGAGCAGAAATACCACTTGTCAACCACCATGCTTTCAGTTATATAGTGTAAAGTATTCAAAAGACTTGTGTTTGTTATTACAAATGTATCTGTTATCATTTAAAACACTAATTCTAAGGCACAATGCGGTATTGTGGATAGATATCGTAATTTTGTGACTTTCATATGTCCCAGTGTTCTTTGATTGCAATGTATGATGTTTTAACCAAAGCATATATTGATTCGAAAGCACTGCGATAATATTGTGTTGGACCTTTAAGATTCTTAACAAACTTATGTTTGTATACTGCTATTTGTCTTTTAGTCATTTCGCTGCTCTTGTTTTTTCCCTACTAATGTTATTTTTTTCGCTACGGTGTTCTCAATTTGTCATCGACTTGTGAGATTGGATATCCCTTTGTTATTTTACGCCTCTCCTTTACAAGCGAATCTCGTTATCTAATCTCTTGTAAAGCTTCTGTGCCAAATCAGGCTGACTTGTATCTCCCTCTATTGTATTGCAATTATGAAAAGTGACTGAAAACGTTTCGTTGTTGGTTGACAATGGTATTTATTGAAATAATAGTGGCAAGGAAGTGAGGAAAAATGGTATATATTTCTTTGATGTTTTCTCAAAGGATTTTACATTAACCGATTCATTGCTGTTTCCTGGACAAATCTTCCACGTGTAACATCAATTTTACATTTAATATAATAGGTATCTATGATAAGAAGGTTAACAAGTAGGACTGGAGTGCTACAGGAAAAAACGGTACGTAAGCTATCAAACCGTCAACCATTATAAAAAAGGTTATCTTATCAACCCCATTGCGGTACTAGTATAACTGTGCATTTGAATGAATATGAATCCACCCTCTGGACACTACCATACTTAAGCGTTGGGTTGTATTATAAACGTACCAGTTAACCAGTTAACCGTCCACAGAGAGACATGTTGGACGTATTATTCTGACCTGAATCTAACCAGGTCTGTACTAATATTTACTTCAAATAACGGTTAATAGGTGATTAAAAGAAATAAAGAGTTTGAAAAACTTTCGTGTGAACATGCTTATGCTGGGTTTAACCCACAACCTACAGTACTTAAGGCAAGCGTCCAACCAACATATACAACCTAGTTGGTAGCTTTGTCGGTGAGAAGATAATTTGATAAGCATACTAACTTCAAGAGAAAATGATACATACCACCGTCTATAAGTGCAAGTGTTGCTAAAACTACAAATGGTGCTTCTTTTCCTGCAAACTCGTACATAAATCCACCAAATGTTGGACCCACTATTTTAAAACAATAAGAACATAGCATATCAAACAAAGAAAACAGGTTAAACCAGAATATGTCAACTATCATTGTACTATAAATAACAAAATAAATAAGGTAAATAGTCAATAGTGCAATAGATTTTAATACGAAATTCGTTTTTACAATGCATGTTATGATTTTCTTGCTGTGTTGAAGACCCATTGGTGGCCTTTGGCTGTTTTCTGCTCTTTGGTCGGGTTGTTTTCTCGTTGACACATTCGTCATTTCCATTTTCAATTTTATCAGTATTTGTATATATTTAACTGATTTCTGTATGTAAGCGTCCAACCAACAGACAACCGAGGACGTGGTAGCTTTATCGATATAAAGCAAAAATTTCGATCAAACACATGTTAGGGTCTGTCTTAGTCTTGCAGTGAGATGAGAGTTTGAATGCCTCACTGTGACTTTGAGATGAAAATAAAAGGCAATAAAAGGCTGTTTCTTTGCTTTTTTATGTGCGCCTATAGTAATTTTGAACTACGTCATACATTGATACACCGCATCCTTTCTTTTCCATTAAACCAATGTATACAATCTTTATGCTTTTAATTACAAAAAGCATTTTTAAATTCAGTCTTATACAAAACAACAAAATCAGTTTCTTCATATTTGTATTCGTAAATAAGAAACTTACCTAAAACTCCCATTGCTAGACCCCCTAAAGCTATACCCATCGCATTTCCACGTTCTCTATCATCGGGATATCGGTCGGCTAACATTCCCATACCTAAAGCGAAACAAAAATCCGATAAATTGTTTTAGGTCATTTATATGTTTTGGAGTTAAGTGTGACGTCCATTTTCAATGAACTAGTACACATTTTTGTTTAGGGGCCAGCTGAAGCCCGCCTCCGTGTGCGGGATTTTCTCGCTGTGTTGAGGACCCATTGGTGGCCTTCGGCTGTTTTCTGCTATTTGGTCGGGTTTTTGTCTCTTTGACACATTCCCCATTTCCATTCCCATTTCCATTCTCAATTTTATTTTATTATTAACTTATAATTTAGAAAATATACAAGTATACACTTACAGTAGTAAATGTATAAACAATCGGTATTCAACAATAGACAGGCGTCTTAATAATATATGCAGATACATGTTCGCTAAGCTCTAAATCGTTTTCTTGAAGTCGTGAAAAGTGCTATTGGTATATCATACTGCAAATTTAAATTTTTAACTTAACATTGCACATACACTAAATACATTATGCAAAAATTTACCTGCTACACTTGAACAAGAAGAACCTATTCCTTGGACGGCCCTGGCTATAAATAAAATAGTATAATTCTCTCCAAATGCAAATACTGAAAAAGAAATTAAATTTAGATCAGTATAATATCCATTTTATAGATTCTAGGTGCCGAAGTTGTGTATCTTTTTATTTACTTTACAGTTTTTTTACTTTGTTCTATTATGTTCATTTTGGTCGTATCACTCTCGACGTGACTCGGTATATATGTTTTTTTTGGCTTCGGGCGTTCCTGGTGCAGGTGGTGCAAGATGTGCGATTTCGACGCAAGAGGTTTTTATAGTGTTTTGTTTTCATTTTGTTTACCCTTGTCATTTTATTTTACCAAATTTGTACTTCAGTACTCTATCGAGAAGTGTATACAATATAATGTATGTACTATCAACTTGAAACACTTTTTTGTTGGCGTCTTTGTGTATATTTGTTTGAAATATTTAGTCAGTTGCGTTGTTACGGGTTGTATATGTCTGTGGTGTATGTTTTCACAGTTTTGGCTGCTGAATCCCAATTATTGTCACATTAACCTATAATGTCTGTTGGCGTTGCTTACACAATTTGTCAATATAACAGACCTATATAATAAAACTGCCATACAAGCTAGCTATAAAACTTGGTTTTCTTCGGAAAATTTGTGTTCCAAGTCAGGGATATGACAGTTGTTTTCCATTCATTCCATTGACTGATAAAGACAAACGTTTGATTTTGTCAGTTTTCATGGACTTCCCCATTTTGAATTTATCTTGGAGTTCGGTATTTTTGTTATACTTTTTTATTTTGCAAAACTACAAGCTATAGGTTTTAGCGAGAAAAAAATAACGATTAGTAAAGCACATTTTTTTTTTCAAATTAAATCTGCACATGGCGTTTACATTTATCGTCAACTATACATTTTATGTTTTGGTGAAACAGATTGGTTAATGTTTAGTCACACCATTTTGAATTATTTGAAGACATGGTATTTTTGCTTGTTATAACTTTCATTTTCCCAATTGTTGCTTGTTGTGTTGTTTCTTTCGAGATTCAAGTTTTGCTGCTATTGTCAACAATATCTTGCCTCAAACCGATCGGCATTCATTCGAACTTTACTTCCAATGTTTCAAATTACATATTTTCGTTAAGCAAGAAACATAGCGACTGGCTTTTGTTGCAAACTTTAGAAGGCAAAGTATCAAACTTATTATAAATTGTAATTTTTGTATTCCAATATCTTGTATTTTTACTTATTTTTAAGGCAATGAAATAGAAATCTGTAACAAATTCCAGTCCAGTCCACCAAATTGTTTGCCCTTTACGTGCGTAGCTTCCTGCTAAGTTAAGTAACACATATATGCCGCGTTTTGTCTTAATTTTTGTATTGTTTCTTCAGTTTATAGATTGAGCTTGTCGGGTAATTTATGACAGTATTTCTTAGATTTTTTTCACATACATAGTTCAAAATGTGTTCCTCATCGAACGCACCAAATTAAAAAGTGTTGTTGAATTTTGTTGATATTACCCTGCATCGATATCTCTTCATTGCACAAATGTAACGTGGTCGTCATCTATCGGTGCTATAGGGACCGTATTGACTTGAACTGAGGCAAGAGTTTTGTATCTAAAGGCCTCCATGCGACTTTAATAATATTTACGGTACCAATTTTTTTGCACCAGATGCGCTTTTCAACAAATAATGTCTCTTCAGTGATGCTCAAGGCCAAAAATATAGACCAGAAACCGCAACGAAAGTGATCTCCCTTTGCTCATAGTTTTAGTATTTGTGCGTTGTGATTTTTTTATCATGAATTGATACACCATATTCTTTCTGTTCCGTTGTAACAGATTACACCTTTTATACACATATTTTAAGAAAGAAGATTCATTGTACTTGATTTATACTTCTTCGAGATATCCTCTACGAGCAATAACGTCTGGTTTCCCTTAAATTTTCTATCTTAATTAGCATCCATTATTCATGAGAATAATTTAGAGTTCAGATCTTTTTTCTTTATTGGTCATAGTCGAGACCATTGACCATTAAGTTTATATGTTTTCGTTGGTTCTTATTTTCAGTAGCATAATTTTGCATTATAACTTTTCGATAATGTTAAAAAAAGATTAAGAATCGTTAGCATAAATGAGTATAGATATATTTTGCAGACATAATGTCTTTCCAACATATTCTAATGTCAGATTTTATACCATACGCATATAGGTTACAGTGACCTTCAAATTTTATATAATTAGCGGAAATAGTCCAATTTAGCAATTTTATCGGTCCTGATGTTATCTTTAAGCAAAGAACAAAGTTCGAATTCTAATCATCAAGATATATAAAAAGAAAGGTGCTTATCTGCATTTAATAATACGTATATAGTCAGAGGTTGCGTTATGTTGTTTTTACTGCAAAACATTTGCCATTTAATTAAGGAATGACTGTAATATTTTTTCTGTCTATGAAGAAATAACATAAAAAATGTGGTGCACACTGAATAATCCGCGTAGCGGGTTATTTTAAAGTGTGCACCACATTTTTTATGTTATTTCGAATAGACAGAAAAAATGTTACAGTCATTTCTTATAATTTAATTCTAAATTCCATTTTAAACCTGAGTAAACCATGAAAAAAACGTTGATGACGTCACGGTCACATGGCAAAATTAAGTCTATGAGCTGATAAACAAAACAACGTCAGCCAATCAGAAGACGCGTTACATCCAAAATTAAATTATTCCCAAATGTGTCTAATTTTTTCCGACCCTTGACGTTGTGTTCTAAAATAACAATCACAACTTCAAACATGAGGGTATAATTTTGTTCTGTTTGACGTAATGTTAGAGAATTCAAACTCATCGCTCCCGTGTGCTTAACTGGTAAAAAGCGCCGATTAACTTGTCGAAGAGTGATATGCCAATATGAAAATGAGAAGATGTGGTACTGTATGATTGCCAATGAGACAACTCTCCACAAGAGACCAAATGACATATAAGCATGCTTACTCGAAGAAAACAATTTCAAATATTTAATTTACTTACTAATGGTGGATACAAACATAACAAAGAAACCAGTAAAGAGTGGAATAGTGTAACCAATTCTGCAAAAAAGTATTGAATAATTATGCCATATATCATTTTGTAGTTAATACAATCTGGCATTATAGTTACAGCAAAATCATTTGGTGTGTAATTTAATGACAACTTTCTATAAAAAAATATTTTTACTTTTCCATTAAAACAGTATAAAATCAACGAATAATTATGAATTATGTTGGTATTTTCTAAACATTATGTCCTTTTAATGTACATATCTAAAAACATTAATAAAGCTCTGACAGCAAAATTGCAAAAAAATGGCAATTACCAAATTATTGATCAACCTAACCAATCAGATTAATTGCTTAAATATACCTGTTCGTTAAAGGTCCTATGAACGGATTGGTAATCAACTGTACAATTGCCTTCGATGCAAACATTAAGCCGACTTTGACGTTCTCATTTCCTAGTTCTGCCTTTCGAATTGTTGGCACTGTCATAGTCTCATAACTTGTCACATTTATTGGTGTAATTGTTATATTTTCACATATGTACTCCGATGCTGTGTAGGCATTGTAATTTTTTGTCACAGTTTGAAACATATTTAAAGATTTATTTGAACACATTTCAGTAATATTTTTTGTGTAGTACGTAGTCACATTCTGTATTTCATACGGGTAATCTAATTTACGTAGAAAATTTGGCACAATTGGTACTGAAAAGGAAAACATGTACAGATCTGTATAATATACTGCTCATTTATGTTTAAGTAACAATAATAATTGTAAATACTATAAACTGTCTTCTAGAATTGATTCGTAAACATTTTAAGGATGCTCGCTCCTCTTGTTTTAGAATTTTTACCAGATATTCGAAATCCTCTGGTTTTATCCATGTAGTGCCATTAAACATTTGTGCCCATTGAACCCTACTTTTCTTTCCAGAATTTGATTACATATAGTTTTAAATGTTACCTTTGAAAATCTTATAAAATCCTTGTTATTTTTTCATCGTTTTTGAAAGAAAAAAGGTGCCAATGTTAAATGTATGATAAATCTAGAGAGAATTATTTCCCGCCAAATTTTCAATGGCTTATATCTCGAAAACAAGCACACGGACCCTTCATTTTTTCTGCTTTTTTTAGTTTCTCTATTTATATACTATCAATTTATAACAGTATTTTAAAAAGTTTGTTATTTTGAAACAGAGAAACGAACATCCTTAAGTATATACTGAGTATGAATAAAAGAAGATTTGAGTATATGTTAATGAGACAGCCTCCAAACAACATAAAAAAAAACCAAATACTTCAAGAGGTCAGCATTTTAAAAAGTGATCATATTAACATAAAAAATATTCGTATATATACATGTATTATGCGAATATAGTGTCCTGTAATCCGACCAATTTTAGCAAAATTGATCAAATTACTATTTACATCATCGCTTCATTTTTGCTGACCATTTCACGGTCTTCCTCTAACATGTCTAAATAAATACCTTTTTTTTTGTTAAACAAAGAAAACAAAATAAACATTTTATTTTCTTTATATATATATAATTATAATTCTTGATGAAAACAACATAGATCTATGTTTATTGTTATAAAAAATACAAAAAAAATATTTGTATTAGATATTAGATTAGAGAAAAGCTCGGCGTTTAATTTTACGTCATATCCTTAAAGCTTGTACAAAAATATGTTTTCCGACAAAGTAGGTACATTTATCGATTATTCATTACTGTTTATGTACCATCGATAACCTTCATGCATGACATTTCAGATATGATAACATACAGCCTCTAGTAAATGGTTATAGTCACGACAGTGTCACTAAAGAACCCAAGTGTATTATAAACGGTTAAAAAGAGAAGATCCAAGGGGCGAATCAGACAAACAACAGCCCAAAAAACACTACACATAAAATAAAAAATAGTTCCTGCTGTACTGTTGGCACTCGTCACAAGAAAATGCATATAATTGCAGCAACTGAGGATCCCGGTTGAAAGTTTACTGTTGTCAGTCCGTTGTATTTCTGTTGTAAGTACAAATCATACACTATCAAAACCTAAATGGATAGTTTATTTTAAAACTCCAATAACTGGAAGTGTTGTACAAATTCAAATGGATCTTGAACAATATGACCAAATAGTTATTCTGCAAAAATTCTATATTGGAAGGAGGAAAGGCTTACAGATATACATGAATGGAATGTTAAACTTTTTGTTCAAACGTGACCTGTTTCGCTTAATTTAATCCATACTACCGTATGTTTAAAATACAAATTGTACTGAAAAAAAAAAAAAAAAAAATATACACTATGAAAATTGAAGCTGAAATGAACAACCCGTATTTCTTAACACTGCGATTATACTCATTATATCTAGTGGGAGAATACCTACACTTAGGTAATTTTGATATAACGGCTTTGAATAAAAATCAAAAACATTCTGCTTTCAAACGTTTGACATTTTCGCTTTTTTAACTTTTTGCTCCTGGGCGTAAGAAGTTTAAGTTTCTCATCACCTTTACAATTTCAAAAGAAATCTACAGGACTTCTTTTGAATGAATGGCAATGTAAGTCAATTAACAAAATGAACATGACTTTTTTTCATTTTCAAATTATCTAAACTTAGAAAAATACCTTTTACATAAACACTGATTATGATTCATATGATTTAAAATACAATTATTTTCTTCTTAAAAAATATTCAAAATTATATTCTTTCTACCATTATAAAATTACTCACCGACAGTAGTCAGAAGCATATTGTCTAAGAAAAGAGCTATGAATACCATTATAAAATTACTCACCGACAGTAGTCAGAAGCATATTGTCTAAGAAAAGAGCTATGAATACCATTATAAAATTACTCACCGACAGTAGTCAGAAGCATATTGTCTAAGAAAAGAGCTATGAATACCATTATAAAATGACTCACCGACAGTAGTCAGAAGCATATTGTCTAAGAAAAGAGCTATGAATACCATTATAAAATGACTCACCGACAGTAGTCAGAAGCATATTGTCTAAGAAAAGAGCTATGAATACCATTATAAAATTACTCACCGACAGTAGTCAGAAGCATATTGTCTAAGAAAAGAGCTATGAATACTATAACTAGAACTAATTTACGAGATTGACGACATTTTGTTAGGCAGTCAGACATTTTGGCAGGCGATACAATGTCTTTGATAATCATGATTGTTCTATTTCCAGTTCCTTTGCGCTGTAAAGTAAAAAAAGAATATCTTATTATCTAAAGTTAATGCGTGTACTCATTTAAAACTGATTTGCATTGCAGACTATAGTATAAACTCGTGATAACTTTTGCTTGAAATAGTAATATAAGTAACTTGAAATCGTGAATTATTGTATAAAAATGTATTAGGTAGATGCAGTAGTCTGGTGTACACAACCCCGTGTTTCCCATGTCTGAAACAAAGGCGGTGATACAAAGAAAAGGGGAAGGTAAATAGGCACAGAACTAATAGTACGGAGGACAGGAAAGAAAACATACCGACATACATGCTAGGAGTTTCTTTTTTTTTTGTATAAGCTTAAACTGTGATAAATATACATATGGGTACGATTTAGTGATTTTACTCCAAGAGGCCAATGTAAAATTTATAACACATCTTCGGTAAACTTTGAATGTCTTCGTCAGACAACGGAATAGAAACATCTATAATTATCATATTTCCATCCAATTTCTATATACGTATTTCATATGTCATGTTATATAGGTTTTTCCAAAATTCCATAAACTAGTCTTCTCAAATGAATATTCCATAATTTTCAAAAGGGAATGGACACCATAAAATGTTTCAGTCGTGGAGTAGGAACTTGCTGACCACTCTGGAGTACCTTAGTTTTAAACCAGGTTCTATTTGGCGGTTTTGTGTTGCTCAATTTTAGTTTTCTGTGTAATTCTTTGTAGAATATCGTTTGTCTTCTCGTTGTTTTTTTTTTGAATTTCTGACTATGTTACATTATGTTTTAAAAACAATTATGGTAATTGATTGCACTTTGGTATCTCCCCTATTTTTTCAGAATACAGTAGGTTTACGTGTCTTTTTACCGTTATCTTTTGAAGATGACAATCGCCTTGGTAATTACATGTGGACAACATTTGTTTATTTCTTTATACACAATTCTTTTATAGGCACATATTGTCTCGTAACTTTATCAGTTTGCTGTGTAAACGTAAAACTATGGCACCATGACTGTTTTAAAATCTGTGAATTTCTATTCAACCATCTTATTTCAAAATATTTTGTTATTGAAAGTAGGAATAATTAGTCTGCAACTTTTTATTTTGATTTTTAAAAGATACGGTTACTCTTGGTTTTTTTTCAGAGTATATCTCCGAAGCTACATCTATTTAATTGTCTCGTCGTGTATAAACGATGAACATTTGCTTAGAATACATCAAATACCAAAACCGCCATTTAATGAGATTAAAGCTTGTTTGTTACGGTAGTGTTGGCTCATAGAAAAGTATCTTAATATTCGCAAGCTAATTGACTTATTGATTAATCTTTTTAATGTAAATGTTTCCATATTGAATACAGAAGTCAAATAACGGCATGTTACATTAGTTTATTGATACAAGTATTTAATTCTTTGACGGTATTGACGCAGAAGGTCGCTTATGTCCATCCTACAAAACGCAATGAACAACCGGAAGTCACTTGAAGAGTTTGGGTGCAATATCGAGTTTGTACTCGGACACCCTCACATTTAGCAAATTGTTAATCGATGTTAATGACGATGGGAGACCATTGTATTGTCGATTGATCGCTTAAAGATCAAAGGGAAGCTATTTTACTCAAAAACATCAAGGATTTCTTGCTTCAAATTGTCGCTGACGTAATTATAAATTATAAATATTACAGATTACTCAAAAAAGAAAGACATCTCTGTATTCCAAGTTATTCCTAAAGTCGAATGTATTTGGAATTTCAGTGGAATGAAAAACATATCATTGATTGATTGTTTGGTGTTAAATGCCACTTTCAACATTATTGGCTGTAGAGTGGTGTTGAGTTTTATTTTTTTGGTGAAGGAAGCCGGAGTGCCCTGAGAAAACCACCGACCGTCGGCAGGAAACTGACAAACCAAGTCAAATAAGATTAGAGTCGAGCGCACCTGCCGAGTGCGGGGTACGAAATTACATTATAACCTCAGCGATGACAGGCTAGTCTAGTGATACATTTGTTTAACCACTCGGCCACCGAGTCCCAAATTCAAATAGTTCAGCTAAATCATTTACCGAACTTGGTTAAATACTGCATCATGTCTTTACGCGATCCTTGTATTTGGGATCGTACACATTAAGTTGAAGTTCTGTTTATGCATCAATATGTATCAGCGAATAAAATGGTCCAGATTTCATTACATTGTGTGTATTTATGCCATATGAGGCACATATAAACAAATTAAAGGAGAGCTGGGGTAAATGTCACTGAGGAAGCAAGCAAATGCGCTAAACACTTATAATTGAATTCTGTTTTTGATTGATTGATTGTTGTTGGTTTTCATGCATGTTCAGGACGAAAACAAATTTACAATAAATACAATAGGTAGGTCCTGTTATAAAGGTCGTCTAGGTAGAAGGTCGTGGCACTCTCTTTACATGAGGCATTGGATATAACGTCCCCATTCTAACCAGACGTGGCTGCTCACAATTGTACAACCAGAACAACCAAACGGATGCCCCACTTTGGCAAAAGTTTTACTGCCAGTCGGAAGACCAAGAGTGATCATATAATCTATTCCCCAGACACCCTTGTTGTTTTTGAAAATTCATACGAAATGAAAGAACGTGACCATCACAATTTGCAAGAAACGCGGAAATACTTATTGCTTAAAATGTAATGGTTACTTGCTTTCATTTCGTATAAGCTTTCAAAAACTACTGTAAATATTATGGTATGGAGCTATATGAATTGACAATATAAAAACATTAGTTTGGCCTGGTTTTTCATCTCAACATTGATGATTAGTCTTGCTTGATGAGTAAACTATTATACCGTAAGATTAATTATACAGAGTATACTTTATATAATAATATTTCCATGGTATCGTAGGTTACATATATGGAAGTAACAAAATAACTAGTGAACTCAACTTTAATATACTGCTAGCTGTTGAAAAAGTAATAGTTATGAGTTTGACTCGGTTTAAAATGTTATAAAACTTTGAATTGTGAAGCATCAAGAATATGGTTGATGGTTTGATACTAACATACTAACATTAAGTCACAAATAGGATATAACAGCAGTAAGAAGTTTGTAAGAAAAACAACATAATGCTATATCATCAAGAAAGCCATAACTTCATATTTCAGACGAATTCCACTTGCTACATGGATACAACTGAGTTGTCTAAAATACGAAAATTACAGGTAGTTTTATCGTACCTGCAGTTTTTGCGGGGTTTTTTTTTTTGTTATTTTTTTATAGTGAGTTAAGAGCGATTTTCTGTGTATTATGCGTTTCACGGTACGTAAGCAATTTATAAAAATAATTCGTATTTTAAATGATATAGACACTTAGTTTACATGGCGGTAGACTATGTGCAGCTCACATGTATTGCTGCTCGACCATGGCCGTTTTTCTCCAAGAGTTCCAGTTTCTTAAAAAAATATATTTAATACAAATATTTGTAATTATAACGAATTTAGAAAGTATTAGAGTAAAGATGTAAAAATTGTCCAACTTGCATGTTATTCATTACTATTGCTTCTCTATGACGGGGGAGCACATTCAAGTCATTTGTCAGGGTAAATATGATAAAAAGTAAAATAACAAAAATACCGAACTCCAAGAGAAAATCAAAACGGAAAGTCCTTTGTCAAATGGCAAAATCAAAAGCTCAAATACATCAAACGAATGGAAAACAACTGTCATATTCCTGACTTGGTACAGGCATTTCCTTTTGTAGAAAATGGTAGATCAAACCTTGTTTTAAAGCTAGCTTAACCTCTGACAGTCGCATAGAATTCTATTATATTGACAATAATTTGTGAGCAAAACAAACAGACATAATAGGTAAAAATGTCAAAAATTGGGGTACAGCAGTCAACATTGTGTTATAATCTTTATCACTGTAAAACAAATACCTATTTCAACAAAGAAATACAGTCATAAGAAAACTTACCAGTTAGAACGATCGAGTAATATCACGGATGCAGTAACTTATGATCAGTTTCCGTATCAATATTCCTTTTTACACCTTTAGTCACAATACGTCATCTTATTAACAGTTTTCCTTATATATATATGACTTTCCACCTGCTTTGTTTCACCGAAGCTGGTGAGATTGCTTTTGAAATATACAAACAGTTTTTACGAATCGTTGGATGTGACAAGTAAAATCAATTTAAGTAAATTCCTGAGCAACTTACAGTTTTATGCATACCGTATTAGCATGCTCATATAAATTTATCATATAGTTCATTTTCTTCGGCAGAAGCATAACCAGACATTTTATGGAAATATGTTTAGAAAAAAAAGTATTACGCGACAAAATTAATCATACAAATGTAGTTTTGAATATTTATATTTAAAGTGTTAAATTTACATAAATGAGTATTAATCTTTGTCTAAATTAATTTACTATAATTCAATATTCAATTACTTATAACTTTAGATTAAGGCAGCGTATACGTATTTGGAAGCATTTCAGACTTTCGTCACTTTTGAATGCATTAACAACTCCTTGGAATTGAATATCGAAAAAAAAAAATAAAACATTTATTCTTTCAGAGATTACGTTAATCAAAAATTTGTGAAACAGATCTATAAATGTATAGAATGTATGAAAAAACGAGGCGAAAATGCATATTTCTCTTCCATTTCTCGAAAACCAGTCAAAAGAATTTTGATTTAAAAAATATGAAAATGCTTTGGATATTTCCAACTAAACTTAACACTAAATTACTGAAGAGGAACGGAATAAGTAGTCTTGCGTAGTTTTTTCGACGTCAATAGGTTACGATTTGGTTTTTAATTCAGTTTTAATGTCATTTAGGGAAGCTGTAGGGATCTTGTCGGCTTATTGTAATATTTTGTACGGTTCTAGAAACAGAAAAAAAACATTTATTCATAATTGATATATTATATACCAGAAACCATAGATAAATGTGCATCTAAAATGATTTTGTTTTCCAGACATTCAGTTAAAAACTGTATAATACATTGTATACACTTTTTGGAATTCTGT